GGTTCTGAGCATCCAAGTGAAATGCTTCCATGAAATCATCACTATCGGTTACAGAGTCTATCGCTCCTATGATCTGCCGTGGTTTAGAACACTGAGCTGGTACTTTCTACTGTGTGTAAACTACTTTTTCTATGGAGAGACTGTAGCTGATTATTTTGCTACATTTGTTCAAAGAGAAGAACAACTTCAGTTCCTCATTCGCTATCACAGATTTATATCATTTGCCCTCTATCTGGCAGGTTTCTGCATGTTTGTGTTGAGCCTGGTGAAGAAACACTATCGTCTGCAGTTTTATATGTTCGCATGGACTCACGTCACTTTACTGATAACCGTTACTCAGTCACACCTTGTCATCCAAAATCTGTTTGAAGGCATGATATGGTTCCTTGTTCCAATATCAAGTGTTATCTGCAATGACATAACTGCTTACCTTTTTGGATTTTTTTTTGGGAGAACTCCATTAATTAAGTTGTCTCCTAAAAAGACTTGGGAAGGATTCATTGGCGGTTTCTTTTCCACAGTCGTGTTTGGATTCACCGCTGCCTACGTGCTATCCAAGTACCAGTACTTCGTCTGCCCCGTGGAGTACCGGAGCGATGTCAACTCCTTCATCACCGAGTGTGAGCCCTCGGAACTCTTCCGCCTCCAGAGCTACGAGCTTCCACCCTTCCTGTAGGCGGTGCTGAGATGGGAGACGGTGAGCCTGTACCCTTTCCAGATACACAGCGTTGCCCTCTCGGCATTCGCCTCCCTAATCGGCCCGTTTGGAGGCTTCTTTGCCAGCGGATTCAAAAGGGCTTTCAAAATCAAGGATTTTGCAAACACCATCCCTGGACACGGTGGGATAATGGACAGATTCGACTGTCAGTATTTGATGGCAACTTTTGTGCACGTGTACATTACAAGTTTCATAAGGGGCCCAAATCCCAGCAAAGTGCTGCAGCAGTTGCTGGTGCTGCAGCCCGAGCAGCAGCTGAACATCTACAGGACCCTGAAGACGCACCTCATCGAGAAGGGCCTCCTGCAGCCCGCCCTGAAGGTCTGAGCGGCCTGGAGGGGCGCGCCGGCCAGGAGGGACTCCCCAGAGCGGCACCGACAGAGGCGACTGTGTAATTGTACGGCAGAGTGGTTGAAAATGTAATAGATTGAAGTTTTTACAGACACGAGTGTCTCTCTCTGAAATTACTGTGACTATCTCACACGCACTGTGACTCGGTCTAAGGTCTGAAATCAGCGGCCAGTCGCCGGGAGCACGCCCTGTGCCCTCTCTGCAGCGTGCTTTCCGACGTGAACCTCCTCCTCCCTCTTCCTTGCTGGGTCTCAGAATTTAACAGACTGGTGTTTTTTTTTTTTTTTTTTTTTTTTTTTTAACCTGTGGGATGCAGATGGTTCCTCGGGGCTTTTCCCCCTGGTGGTGGTGCATATGCATTTGCTACCTGAGAGTAAAAAGACCACGCACACCACCCCTCTCTTTCCATTTGTAGCATCTCTCCATTTGCACTTTGGTCGGAACAAAGAGCCACCTTGTTCGAAAAAGGAAAAGCAGAAACAGTTTATATATGCTGTATGTGGGTAATAGTGTATGATGTGTGTCAATCAGTCCTCTCAAGCTTTTGCTGAAACTGAGATAGGAAAATAAAACGGAAACAAATCGTAAAAAAAAAAAAAAAAAAA